TGCATTAACTAATTGGAAATCTTCTTGATGTCTATGTCGAATTTCATTTTCTAGACCTTATTAAGGTGCCTTAACGACTGGGAAAGTCATATTGACAACTACTGGCAATTTCAGCCGCTAACTCCCGTTTTACTTTTTATGTGGAAACGATGGCTCAAAACCTTCTAGTACTCTCGGAAGCGCACAAATGGTAACAACAACTGAGCAACTCTTGCAAAGATTGTATAATTACATTTGTGTATCAGAGTCATAAGTCAAAACACCATTTTGCACTATCTCACTATGAGTGGCAGAGACTCTAAGTATAATTCCGATGGTTGCAAGTGTCAACAGCTACCACTCGCTGGCAAGATTGCCCTCATTGCTTTTACTTTTGTGCTCTTTTTTTGCTGCAGTAAATCTTCTCAAAGCCCAAAGATTTGGCTGTTGCTGTCACGAACAGAACCTCTTTTCGAAATAGTTTACAAGCTGGTAGGGAAAAAAAACTATTCTTCAAATCCGGACGTGATGCGCTATACATAAGACTACCGTAATCCTTGGACAAGCTGTGATCTGTGTGTGTGTGCCGCTCCATGCGTATTACTCTCTGTGACCTTCTGCAAACACCGTAATCTTCTGCAAAACACACTTCAGTTCCTGCTCCTTGCTGCGGGACTTCCGCGACAAATGTCTCGTAGCAAGTCCTGAACTTGTGCATTTTGCAAGGTTTTCAATTCTTCCTACCAATCAATTCTGGTTGAAATTTTTGAACAAAAATTCTTACTTCACGCGAAAAAAATAAAGGCTGGAAATTTCCTTGGAAATAGTCTCAATATGTGTTTGCATATATGCAAAAACGCATAAAAACTGCTCCTTTCTAGGGTGTGTGAAGCATGGCGAAAAGAAGGGAGCCGAGTGCTGATGCTTCGTGGTGCAGACAAGATAATTCATTTGCAGGGTGGTACCAGTAAATCTGTTGAGGACTGGAAAATTTTTGTGATATGCAGTAACTGCCCTCAGAAGGTTGAATTTATTTTATTGCACTTTCTAAATAAATAGCAAAACATTATGCGGGACATTTGTGCTAGAAATGAAAGCAGGTCATTAGTAATCGTAACAGAGCATCGGAGATTACAGTTAAATTATGCCAGTAGAATATTTTTCAGCGAATTATGCCACTAAAAAACTAAAATAAACCGAAACCATTCAGAATGACCTGCAAAAAAAGGAACATACAGCACTGTAAGGGACTGTAATTAAAGTGTACAAGGGAGGAGAAGAAAAGTGAGATGATTCAAAACTGCTTTCGAGTTTAGCCACTCGAGCAGCGATGTGTAACACGCCGTTAAAATATCAAACATCGTAAAAAAAAGCAAAAACCCCTTCGTATTCACTCACCACAAGGGCGGAGGCACTCGAAAGTAGTTTGAGCGGTACCAGACTCGCTTGCAGAGCTGCCAGTGGCTACCTTTTCTAAGGGTTGCCTAAAAGCATGCTGCTGGCGGGTTTGACTCATTCTCATATTGCAGTACCAATTTGCCATCGAAAAATGAACGAGTTGCAGAGGGTACCCCATTGACAGAGTCGAACCCTCGACCTACTGCATGATAATAGCGCAGCTTCCCACGTATCATGCCTTCAGCGCTTCTAAATGAATGTTATAATCAGTTTATTATACGACAGATATAATTTGGAATAATTGAAGTTTTCTAAATATAACAACTGATTTCTAGAACCAACGCTCGCAGCCAGCGCTTGCATTAATCTTCAAGAAACCATCATATATGCTGACTAATTCGGCGCCGGAGCGCGAGAGTTCGTTGCTGCAGTCAGAAAACAATCATTTTGCTTACTTTTTGAAGTGCACCCCAATAACTGGTATTTGTTTCATAATATGTCTTTATCGTGGATTTTTTAATCCACATTTAGCCGATCATCAGCCGTAATATCCAGGCGAATCGGAAAAATGAATAATCTGATTTGGATAGTGCTCACAACTCTTTTACTCCTCCCTCCCGCCAATGCTCCTTCCTTTTTAGCCTCATTCTACCCGTTTATCCAGCCCGCCTTCCGCCGTTTCATCCTCGACCAACAAAGAATTCCGTTTTCTTCCCCCTTATGCTAAGCTTGATTACTTCAGTTTATCGGAAAAATTGGCGCTTCGAAAAACATATTTGCACAACATTCCGTCCCAACACCTCATCGCGTTTTTTGGGAGTAACAACGGACTAGGCACTGTCTGAGGCACGACGAGATATAAGTCTTAAGAAGCCGGAACATGTCAACAAGACAGTGCGATTAATTATGTCGTGCTGTGAACCAGTGTCAGTACAACTAGCGGTTGATTTCTTGGTAACCCATTTTGTTAGTTATCATGTTCTAGAGATTCATCTTCATTGGGAAAACGAAAATTAAACTGAACTAAACAAAGCTCCTCATTTTTGGAGCAGATGACCAAGGCTGGAACGCATCAGGCTTGCCGGTGCGATCGTGAGTTTCTGCGCCAGGCTTGAAGTAATCAGGTCGTTACCACTAAGAATGGTTGTTGCCCCTTGTGCGCTCCCTACAGTTAATCATCGTAAATTTAAAGGAAAATGAGCAATTTCCGCTTAGCTATTGTCCCATAAAAGCGACCTAGCTCTTCAGTGAAAAATCTTCCCGCCAAAATCTTCATATGCCCGCAAGTGAGTACCACGCGCACCTGAGGGTTGATCTCAAATTCATTTGACATCTTTAAGTTGCACGTGGACGAAGACCTTTCAGTTGTACGTGGACGGGGAACATCTTAACTTTTCAGTCTTTCAGCTTTTCTATTTTCCGAGTTATCAATTTTCCCGCTAAATATTTCATGTGCCCGCATGCGAAAACCACTAGTACCTAGGGGCTGGATTTAAAATCTTTAACTCACATATGCAACACATGCACCGAGAATATCTATGCAAACTTTCGGCTCCTTGTTTTATCTGGTTTTCGAGATCTCTTTTCTGCCACAAAAATTTGTATATTTTTAAGACATCCGTGGATGGGAGCCAGGCAGACGTAGATGATGATACTGAAGCTGGAGGGTCGCACATGGTATGGGCACATACTCCTGAAGTTTCTGCCTTCTAGCTTCCCTGGTTCTCAAGTCGAAAGTATGAACACACACACGCAAACAGCCTCTTGCCAACATGCGTTTTTGCATTTCCGTATACGCGAAAACGCATAAAAAATAAGCCTCCTGAAGGGACCCCTGAATTGTTTCTTCCGGAATTTTCTTCGTTAATTCATCTTTTTTGCAGAGCTGCATGCTGATGATCTCTTATATCAGGTAGTTCGGATACTGAGGAATAATGACACCAGTGGCTTCCTGCTGCCCAAGACGCTTTTGAACAGTCCAGCAATTGCAGTGAAGGTGATCGCTATTTCAGCTAAAAGTCTTAAGTAAGCACATTTTACATAATTTTGCAGGAATCCCTCTGAGCAAATTTGGTATTCTAGCCTAGTGCCTTAAGTTTGGCCTTGAAGCCACTCTTCCAAAAGCGAAATCCTCCGCGATTTGCTCTATCATTTCTGTAATAAATTGGTATTGGTGTATTTAGCACGCCGAGAAGTTACTTCTGCCTTCAACTGGATTCATATAAGAATGAATCTCAGCGAAAACCATTGTTAGGAGCTAAATGCTGTTGTTAATAGGCATGCTTACACACAAACAAAGGACTCCCGCCTTTCGTGGAAATCAAAATGCAAAAGCACGTTCTAAAATTATTGACAGAATAATTGTGGAGATAGCTCCAAAAAAAATTTTTTTTAGCCAGATTTTCAAATTTCTAATTACTTTCAAGTAATAACAACCCTCGGATGAGGAAGCCATTGACAGTCCCACCAGCGGATGGTTGCTATTGGTACAGCTACCCCCAAAATATTTCCGTATGCCTCTACCTTTACGGTTGGGGTTCTGACTTCTGATAACGCAAGGACGAAGGTATCAGTTCCAAAACAGCCTCCTTGAACTCAATTTAAGCCATATCAGATTTTATTTCCTCCCATTTAAAATCGTCCAGTGTGCACGTCAAGAGGCAGTGAAGGCAAAAAAATTGGGTAATTTAGTTGGCCAATGTAAGCTACAGTTGAATTTATTCAATATTTTTTTCAAAATGTTAATATTTTTTGTTTTTTCGCCTGTCTGCAAACTCTGAGTTTTTTCATTTTTGAGTGACCATTGGACCGAACAAGAGGGACCGTGGGAAAATGAATGCGAAAGCTGCATAAGATAGTTGAAGTTACCACGAACAAGAAGTCGAATAGAACTGACTTTATGTGTTTTTTTTTAGTGAGCGTATGAAACTGTTTATTGGCAAAGCGAAAAAAGAATCATTCGAGAAAATTTTTGGATGGAAGAAAAAGGTCCCTTTAAAAATAATATATTATAATATATTTTTGAATGAAATCATCAGTTCACCATAAAAGAATCGTCAGTACAGCCTCCTACCCGCCATGTATTGAAAGGACATGTAGCTAATTTGCTAGAAGGAAGAGTGAATGGAAAAGATAAAGAGAGTAAGTATTTAATGTCATGGAAGAAGTAGGAGTGATAGAGCAGGTGGAAGAGGAGAAAACTAACATATGATAAGGATATTAATTCTATGAAATTATGAGGCGACAGCTTTCATTAGAATACCGCACTAACTAGGTTTTTAATTCCTAGGTCATCAGGGTAAATGAATTCGCTTAGTACTGATCGGTTCCTGAAGCAAAATCTCTGAAATTTTAAAGGGATGTTCCCCATCCAAGTAGATATTAATGATCTCAGACCCAACCTCCGGGTAACCGTGGTGCCCGTGTATGGACCCGCCAAATTTTCCCCGGGTATGTTCATAACTCAGGGATCTGAGATGCTAGAAAGCTGAAATTTTAAGTGAATGTCCCCTATTCAAGTAGATGCTAAGGAACTCAAACCCAACCCCGGGACAAGCGTGGTACCCGCGTACGGGCCCGCCAAAATTTTTTTTGGGCAAGTTCATAACTCGGGAATCTGAAAAGCTAGAACGCAGAAATCTTAAGGGGATGTTCCCTGTCCAAGTGGGTATTAACGAGTTCAAACCCTGCCCGCGGTTAAACGTGGTACCTACGTACAGGCCCGTAAAATTCTCTTCGGGTAAGTTGCTAACTCGAGAACTTGAGGAGCTAGAAGACTGGGTTTTTGAGAGAATGTTTCCTAGCAGTTCTGCCGGTAGCGACAAAAACAGAGGGGAACTGTGCAAAAACGCATCTTCGCACGGGTAGCCCGTGCGTTGGCCAATTATTTTTTCTTTCGTTGTGTTTCTGCTTTCATTTTTCTACTACCGCAGTTAAATTTTATTATGTGCTTAATTTCCATTATCACTGGTATTATCAGTACAGTTATTAATAGTATAATGGTTACTGTTACTATTGTTTCTATTATTTCCCATACGACCAACTGCGAAGGATTTTATGCGGAAGAATTATTTATCTAGAATATCTAGAATAGCCGTAAATTAAAAGTACAATTTGCCGTGCGTGCGGTTGATGATTCTATAGTTACGGCGGCCAACACTGTTTCTCCTCATAGTCAGCATGCTAGCGACCCTGATGTTTGTACTATTTTCTGGTGAACTGTCAAATGAGTTATTTGTTGAGATCGTTACTAGAAGCACGTATATACATAGTCACTGACTTTCACAGTTATGATTTCATAACGGTCTCGTCAAAATCATAAAAGTTTAACTTTTTTGAGACATCGTCATGCTTTTCTCGGTCGATAGCGCTGCTTGACCAAAGTGAGCACTACACCGAATAAAAGTTCCCTTTTCTTTTTTGAAAGTATTGCTTGTTTTCGCATAAAACTGTTTGTCTGCAAAGAATAATTGTTCAACTCGTTGAGCAGGATTTCAGGATCTTATCAAAGGCGCTGTCATTTTAAGTCAACATAATTTCGGTAATTGTACTGTTGACAGATCGGTTGCGTGCATAAATGCTCACAAAATGAGTTGTTTGTTGAGATCGTTACCAGAAGCACGGAATATGGATATATGTACAGTCACTGACTTCCACGATCATGATTCCACAACGTACAATCACATTAC